CTGTGTGTGTGTGTGTGTGTGTGTGTGTGTGTGTGTGTGTGTGTGTGTGTGTGTGTGTAGTACGTGTTTTATTTTCTCCATCACATCATCAACATATTTTTATCATCAAAATCTCTCGTCACCTCTAACAATGTACGTGTGTTGTTTGTCCATCACATTATCAACAACATAATAATATCATCTTCAAAATCTCCCGTCACCTCTAACTGTAACTGTGTGTTGTTTGTCCATCACATTATCAACTTATCATCATCAAAATCTCCCGTGTGGGGGGTTGGCAGGTGCTCTGGTGTGGTTTGCTTCTTCTTTCCTATCAAACATATATCGTCCTTATCTCCCCTTCTTTTTTATGTTTGTTACTCTCTTGTAACACCTCTAATCTTCTGGCGCTCATATGATCTTATGCAGTTGCGAGCGCAGTAAAACCTCTACTAAAACTAAAAGAAATAAAAAAATCTCTCGTCACGTCTAACAATGCACGTGTGTTGTTTCTCCATCACTGTATCAACACATCATCATTAAAATCTCTCGTCACCTTTAACTGTGTCTGTGTTTTGTGTTCTCCATCACATAATCAACATATGATCATCAAAATCTCTCGTCGTCTCTAACTGTGTCTGTGTGTTGTTTGTCCATCGCATTATCAACATAATAATATCATCATCAAAATGTCTCGTCACCTCTAACTGTGTCTGTGTCTTGTTCTCTCCCACCCCCAGAGAGCTGGAGGGCGAGGCGGGCGCCCTGGAGGACATGACGGCCCTGGAGCGGCGCGGCTCCCTCATGTCCATCGTGTCCAGCACCACTACAGGCACCAACGACAGCAGCAGCAGCGGAGGCGGGCCGGGACAGGCCAAGGTAGGGGGGATAAATAGTTTTCTCTTCGAACGTTGTTTGTTTGTTTGTTATTCGGTCTGTCTGTCTCTCACATCATTCTCTTCCTCTTCTCTCTCTCTCTCTCTCTCTCTCTCTCTCTCTCTCTCTCTCTCTCTCTCTCTCCGACTCTGTCTTTCTCCTCCTCTCTCAGTCTTTCAGTCTCTTTTTCACCCTCTTTCTGTCTCTTTTTCACTGTCTGTCTGTCTGTCTCTCTGTCTGTCTGTCTGTCTGTCTGTCAGTCTTTCTGTCTCTTTGTCTCTCTCACTCTTTCTGTCTTTCTCTTTTTCTCTTTCGTTACCAGTCTCTCCCCCTCTTTGCCTGTCATTATTTGCCATGGTCTCTCTTTTCCTCTGTCTTTCCCTTCTCTCTGTCTCTGTCTGTCTGTCTGTCTGTCTGTGTGTCTGTCTGTCTGTCTGTCTGTCTGTCTGGTTGTCTGTTTGTCTGTCTGTCTGTCTGTCTGTCTGTCTGTCTGTCTGTTTGTCTGTCTGTGTGCGTGTGTGTGCACGTGTGAGCGTTTGTCAATGAGCCAGGAAAAACAACATACATGCACATGTGTTATGTATTTGACAGCGTCTCACACAACACCTGTCCGTTCGTATAATTTGACAATAACAATATCGCGTCTGGTCGAACAGTGGTAAGTTGTCGTAACTGCCATTTCGCTACCTTAGAGTTACAAAGTTCTAGTTTTTGGCCGTTTCGAGTTACTAAAACTACGAGGTCAAAAAGCCAAATTTACTACTGGTGTCTGCTCTATCAAAATCGTCAGATTATTCGGAGTCGCTATTAAGATATTCAAAGAATTGCATTCGGAAAAGCGTGACATATTATATATATTGTAAAGCTCAAAATTTCGAACCTAAAATTTCTCAAAACATTTATAATTCTAGGGTAGTGATATGCTAGTTGTGACTACGTATCTCTACTCCGTTGTGTACGATATTGGTTCCTGTTCTTGGAATAAGGTTATGACCCTAATGCATTTTTTTTTTCAGTTCTCTCAGCAGCAAAATAACATTTCATTCTGGAATCAGCAGAGTTGTAATATGTAGGCCTAAATTATGATAGCAGATGATTTTAGCAGGCTGCAATGTCGTGCATACCACAAATTAATAGAATAGTGATTTGGAATGATCATGGCAGCCTAATAAAACGTCGTTGTCAAGAAGTGTGATTTTCCAAAGGGGAACGGGGGGTTGGGGGTCACGACTGTAAACGATCAGTCTTCTGAATAAATGTATAATTCATTCGTCAACAGCTCGAGTAAACCACCAAAGTGTATATTAATGTACATTTTGTTTGTCAATATATTTGTCTGTCTATTTATATATCTATCTATCTATCTATCTATCTATCTATCTATCTATCTATCTATCTATCTAT